CTGCAGGAGAGAGATAAAAGAGCCGCTGCTGAGATCTCTGCCTTCCTCAAACTGATTTCTGGCACCGCCAAACGACCCTCTCGCATGGCCAGGCCGAGAAAAATCAGAAGTCCAAAAGGGTTTCTGCAGTTCTACTCCCAGAGTGATAAGAGGACGGATCGAAGCTGAGCTTGAGTGCTGGAAATCCCAGCTGTCTGTCTGTTGCTCCAGAAAAGTGTGCAGCTTAAATTCAGTCGAGTCTGTCTCTTTGACCAGACCAGATTTCTGAGGTAAACGCCGCTTAAAAAATGAAAGAGATTTTAGAGAGCGACTGTCTGAGAGAACGGCACACTCCATTACGCCAACAACATACCAGCATAAAACACAATACATTAGTGTAAATAAATTGTGTTGCTTTACACAATAAATTAGAATGTCATGGAAAAGTTCATTTATTTCAGTAATTCAACTCAAATTGTGAAACTCGTGTATTAAATAAATTCAATGCACACAGCCTGAAGTAGTTTAAGTCTTTGGTTCTTTTAATTGTGATGATTTTGGCTCACATTTAACAAAAACCCACCAATTCACTATCTCAACAAATTAGAATACTTCATAAGACCAATAAAAAAAACATTTTTAGTGAATTGTTGGCCTTCTGGAAAGTATGTTCATTTACTGTATATGTTCATATACATGTACTCAATACTTGGTAGGGGTTCCTTTTGCTTTAATTACTGCCTCACTTTTTCCTTCCACTCAACTTTCTGTTAACATGCTTGGATACAGCACTCTGTGAACAGCCAGCTTCTTTGGCAATGAATGTCTGTGGCTTAACCTCCTTGTGAAGGGTGTCAATGATTGTCTTCTGGACAACTGTCAGATCAGCAGTCTTCCCCATGATTGTGTAGCCTAGTGAACCAAACTGAGAGACCATTTTGAAGGCTCAGGAAGCCTTTGCAGGTGTTTTGAGTCGATTAGCTGATTGGCATGTCACCATATTCTAATTTGTTGAGATAGTGAATTGGTGGGGTTTTGTTAAATGTGAGCCAAAATCATCACAATTAAAAGAACCAAAGGCTTCACTAAGACTAGTACTTCAGTCTGTGTGCATTGAATTTATTTAATACACAAGTTTCACAATTTGAGTTGAATTACTGAAATAAATTTCAGTAATAAATGTAATCTTTTCCACAACATTCTAATTTATTGATATGCACCTGTATATGCTATATATAAATTATATATATATATATTTTTTATTATATATTATTATATATATTTAAATATATATATATATATATATATATCAAAAAAAATTTGTGAACCCGAACCTGGCCTGAGGGTATAAGTTAAACATTAACCCGAAGCCCGAGTTTTTCGAGTCCCGTCAGGCTCAGGTCGAGTAGCAAACCTCTAGTGGCACCATGCTTGTATCATGTTTTTGGACATGTGCCATTAAAATCCTATGGTATCAATATGGTAAATTACATTACTTTGGCTTTTTTGGACATGTACCAAGGCAGTGGTTCCCAACCCTGGTCCTGGAGGCACCCCAACACTGCACATTTTGTATGTCTCCTTTCTCTGTCACACCAATTTCAGGTCTTGGAGTCTCTACTAATGAGCTGATGACCTGAATCAGGTGTTTTTGATTAAGGAGACATGCAAAACGTGCAGTGTTGGGGTGTCTCCAGGACCAGGGTTGGGAACCACTTTGCCAAGGTACCTTGCTTAGAGTACCATAAGAATCAGTTAGTAAACAGGACTAAAAAATAACATCATATTCTTACCATCTGATACCATCACTGTACCATCACTTACTGTACACAGCATATCTGTAAAATATACTTACTGCACTTCTTTTTTCTTTTCACAGCCTTCATCTGTCTGTTTTTCATATAACCACACATATATTGAGACACGACTGTGGAGGAAGGAACAATATATATGGCAATCAAAAGAGTTATTTATAATATTCATCATACAGTTTTATTCACAGCACACGCAATGCTGTACGCTAATGTCATTTCCCTCTAAAAATCATCACAGAAAAATGGTTAGGAATAACAGAATATTACTCTGCAGTGCTGGAAGGCCGCTGGGAAAGCATGCTGAAATATTAATGGCAGCTGAAATATCGAGCCTGTCTTTAGTGCAAAGTTTTCAGTGGCGCTGCTGCCGTGTCTATAGAAGGCTGTTTACCACTTAATAATACAACATGTGCATTTCAGAATCAGAACGTGTGGAGAGCTGCATGCCAACAACTGCTTCAAATGTGAACACACACACACATTCTTGTAGCAACTGTCACTTTAGATGCCCCACTTACCTGCCAAATGAGCCAAACAAAACAAATTGAGAAAGACTTCTCCTTCTGCCAACTGACAGGCCGGCTTAATTGAAACTATCAATCACAATTCCTCTACATATTACACACACACTAAGTGTTCCCATCATCTAAATCAAACACACATGCTCCGTTCCTAAAGCTAGTGAGCTGACTATACATTTGGCTACAATTAGAATCTCGTAAGTGAACAATTTGCACTACGTAGGCAGCAGCTCTTACGTCATACAATTAGCTACAGGTCAACGTGAGACCTAAGATACAATTGATTTCAATAATTTGCCATTAGCATGCTGCTAATGACATTATAGTCTAAAAATACACTATATCACACACAAATATTGGGTAAAATCATGTGTGTTTAATTAACCTGAACCTTTTTCTTTTTTTTTTACGGATGCACAATATAGTGGTACATATTAGTTATCCGTCGATATCGGCTGACATTCTTTCATTTATCGGTCAATGTTAGATATGTAGTTGTGTATTTCCTCTAATTTTACATTTAGATTACCTTTGCAAAACCACTAACTATGCTTATGTTAATCTTTAAAGGTACTAATAATTTACCTAGATAAATATAATATTTAGCATATCTCAAAATAAATATGAAAGCATAATATAAGTATAGAATTGTACTTATATATTTATATATTTCTCACAATTAATATTTTCATGTTGAGTATATTGAGTATTATCAATATATTCATGTTTAGTAAATATTTATTTAAAATATTAAATGTAGATATGCATTTTTATAATAACCTGTAATAAGCCCATAATAATGTAAATTTGTGATAAAATCTCACACATATTAATATATTATAATTTTATTACTAACATTATTACATAATTATTACATCAATTTTTTTCTAAATATTTAGTATTTATGTACTAAGTATTGTAAATATTATTAATTGAAAATAATACAATACAATAATTTGTATTTAAATATTGTGTGTGTGTGTATATACATGAAACTAAATACTGGCTTATTGGTATCAGTCAGTATTTTTATATCGTTTCATGTCTAAATTGAATATATGTTCCGTTATTGAACAAATTACTTATTTATTATTTTTCCACTGAGCTCATCGCAATGCATTCTGGGACTACCTTCTCCGTTACGGATACATGTGATGCTGCTTTAAAATTTAGCCAAATGAGGTATCATAGAAGCAACAGTCTTTAAAAACTGCCTGCACGCCATAAAATGCTGCCTACATAGGCAGCTCACGAGGTTTGGAACAGAGCCACACTCTTTTTGTGTCCTTTTCCCAGTAGACCCCTATCCACTTTCATCACAGAGCACAGCATTAAATATGAATGAAAACATGCAACTCCGACACAGTGCTTAAATAGAACCCGAAGCATCTCCGCAGGGATTGACAGATGCAGCAGAGACTGTGCTGCCATCGCAGGATGGAGGGAAACACTGGATGGAGAGAACGACAAGAAAACAAAAGCAAGATTGCAACCCCACTCTCTGGGGAGGAAAGGGTTAACCCCATTACGACAAACCAGTCAGAGCAGGGAGCAACACTGCAAAACCGCCGCAGTGAGTGAGAGAGGGAATCCAGCAATAATTTACCACAGATACCGCGTGGGCCTGGTCTTCGGGTTTAGAACAAGGGAAAAAGACCCTTTATCTAATGGTTTTGTTGGTCTCGATATGTGGGACCCCCCCACAGATTTCTTGAATCATAACATGTTGTTGCCATAACAGACAACTTAATTTGCGTTTCCTGTAGCTAAAAGAGTAGCACATGGCACTAGCAATGCCAAGGTCATGGGTTTGAATCCCAGGGAAAACAAGAACTGATAAAAAAGTAAATGTGCACCTTGAATGAGACGCAAGTCACTTTGGATACTGCCAAATGCGTAAATGTGAATGTTGTTTAGCTGCTATCTTTTAGATTAGTAGCACATCAACTATCCATCCATCTGCAAGAAATTCAAACTTCAGACATTTTTCAAAGTTAGTCTTGACAAACATTGAATTTCTAGGTAAAAATTACTTTCCTTGTAATGTGGTGTGAATCCAGCAATAATTTACCACAGATACCGCGTGGGCCTGGTCTTCGGGTTTAGAACAAGGGAAAAAGACCCTTTATCTAATGGTTTTGTTGGTCTCGATATGTGGGACCCCCCCACAGATTTCTTGAATCATAATATGTTGTTGCCATAACAGACAACTTAATTTGCGTTTCCTGTAGCTAAAAGAGTAGCACATGGCACTAGCAATGCCAAGGTCATGGGTTTGAATCCCAGGGAAAACAAGAACTGATAAAAAAGTAAATGTGCGCCTTGAATGAGACGCAAGTCACTTTGGATACTGCCAAATGCGTAAATGTGAATGTTGTTTAGCTGCTATCTTTTAGATTAGTAGCACATCAACTATCCATCCATCTGCAAGAAATTCAAACTTCAGACATTTTTCAAAGTTAGTCTTGACAAACATTGAATTTCTAGGTAAATTGAAAGTTTAACATCTAAGTGTAACATTGAAATTCGAATTGCAATTCTGTTACATATATTCCAATTTGGGAACCGAATTGGAATTCTAATGGATTCTCAATTCAATACTGAATGACACAATGCTGTTCAAAGTGTCTGGTCTTCCTACACATTTCTCTGATTATGCATCCTGCTGTTTTTACCTTTTAGGATAATGCACGTCCCTCCCGCAACGGAGGAAGAAAGCACGATGAGTAACGTTACAGTCCTCGACATCATCGAGTCCGTGAGTCCCGCCATGACGGCGGCTGGCCCTTACCCTTACCCACTCAGCTTCCAGGTGTCCCTCACCGGATTCCTCACGCTGGAGATTGTCCTGGGATTGAGCAGCAACCTGACCGTACTGGCCCTCTACTGCATGAAGTCCAACCTGGTCAATTCCGTCAGCAACATTGTCACCATGAACCTCCATGTGCTGGATGTGTTGGTGTGCGTTTGCTGCATCCCTCTGACCATTGTTGTGTTGATGCTATCGCTGCAAGGCGACACGGTGCTCGTCTGCTGCTTCCATGAGGCCTGCGTGTCCTTCACAAGCGTGGCTACGGCGGCAAACGTGCTAGCCATCACTTTGGACCGATACGACATCTCCGTTAAACCGGCCAATCGGGTGCTGACTATGGGACGAGCGGTGGCTCTGTTGGGCTGCATTTGGCTGCTGTCTTTCCTCAGCTTCTTGGTGCCATTTATCGAGGTGGGATTCTTGGGACCGGAGCCCACCAAAGCCAATCAGACCACCGTTGTGCATGTCAATGAATATTACACCGAACTTGGTCTGTACTACCACCTAGTGGCCCAAATCCCCATTTTCTGTTTGACTGCCGTCATCATGTTAGTCACGTACACCAAGATCCTGCAGGCGCTCAATATCCGCATTGGTACACGCTTCCACGCCACGCAGAAGAAGAAGAAAAAGATGAGGAGGAAAAATAACTTTTCCCTTATGTCAACATCTGAGCAACAGCTGCCCGAGATCACGGATGCCTCGCAGAGCAACAACCGCGGAAATGCTCCACTTGGCATGCGCACATCCGTCTCGGTGATCATCGCCCTGCGAAGGGCAGTCAAACGCCACCGGGAGCGGCGTGAGCGCCAAAAGCGTGTTTTCCGTATGTCATTGCTCATCATCTCCACGTTCCTCCTCTGCTGGACGCCCATCACCGTTTTAAACACTGTGATCCTCAGCGCAGGCCCCAGTGATCTCACCGTCAAGCTCCGACTGGGTTTTCTGGTCATGGCCTACGGCACCACGGTCTTCCATCCTCTCTTGTATGCCTTCACGAGGCAGAAGTTCCAGAAAGTCTTGAAAAGTAAAATGAAGAAACGGGTGGTTTCCATCATCGAGGCGGATCCGCTGCCGAACAACGCAGTGATTCGAAACTCCTGGATCGATCCCAAACGGAATAAGAAAGTGACGTTTGACGATCACGAAGCTAGGCAGAAATGCCTATCATCCGAAGATGCAGACTAAAACCACTTTGCGACCTCCAGTACAGGGACTAGTTCTCATTAAAGCACTGTTACACATAAAGGGAACCATGTTATGTGAATATTAGTCTTACATGAGCAGATATCGAAGAATCGGTTACTATTTATAACTTGGAATATAATATGATAGGTTTCATAGATTGATGCTATTGCAGTTACATGGCGCATGTCCTTTATAAACCACTGTATGTACTGTAAATACATGAAAACTGAGATTTGTACATACTCTTTATCAGTTATGTACCTCATATATGACTTGTAGCCTGTGTATACATGTATTTATAATAAACTAGACGGGGGAAAAAGATGAAATCCATCTGCTTTTTGACTTGAAAGCAGATGTTGTGAACATCATCTTGTGTAGGAATATGAAGATATTATTGTTTCTGTGGAAGAAAAAAGGAGAATTACTAATAATTATATGTTAAGCTCCAAACACAAACAAAACCTGAAAAAGCACTTACAAATGTCATCATGATAACACTTTTCCTTTGTCTAACTGCATAAAATCCATGTTATGTCGTCTTGTGTGTGAATATGATGAGATTATCATTTCTGTGGAACAAAAACAGGAGAATTATTGACGAATCGTCACAAAGCAATTTATATGTTAAGCTCCAAAAACAAAGAACAAAACACCAAAAAGCACTTAAAATAGTCGCCTTGTGTTGCTGCACTCCCAAGTCTTCTGAAGTCATATGACACTTTGCATGAGGAACAGACCAAATTTTAACAGATGGTAACCCTGCAAAGCCTTGAGATTCACAAAGAAAAGAAGGGAAGATGCTGCAAATATCATTGTTTTAGAGCAGTCAAATCTGAGGAGACGTCTGGTTCATTTTGGCACTGCTGTCGAGGACAAAACGTCCCTCATTTTGCATTCACTGAAACACTAAAGTTAAGCTCCCATTCACCAAATCTGCATACATATTAATGAATATTTTCCCAGGTCAGCACTGTAGCTCTTAAGAGGTCTATTGTGCACCATTACGAGAACATTCTGCCTTGCATGTTCAGTGGGAATTATTTAGTATTGTCAAGAATGAAATGAACCAATGCCAAGCCGAATTAGATCAATATCAGTGATTTACATAGAAATCGCTTAACAGTTCTGCATGTTGGTGTAGACAAAATTTTGCACTACATCACTTCTGAAACAATACTTTTAGTTGATTCACAAGTTTGCAGTCTGATTTGGATAAGATGAGACAAAGACCATTAAATAATTCAAAAACAAAATTCATCCTCACTAGCTGCATGGTATGTGTGTTGTATGTTTGAGGTATTTTTTAAATTATTATTTATATACTATTGTGGCAATTATGAATATTGTTACTTTTATTTTAATATTTAAAATTGTTATTTTAATTTTAGTTTACGTTTTAGTAATTTTGTAATGTGCCTTTGCATTTTTTATGTAAAAAAACCTATTTAGCTTTATTTTTATTTCAGTTATTCAGTATATATATATATATATATTATTATTTTTTTTTTAATAACTTTAGTTTTAGTTAACAACACCGGGGTGAAGCAATAGAAGCTATTTTAAAGATAAATAAAAGTGACAAAACGAAACCTGCTTCATGAACAAATGACTCGTATGAGCTGGTTCTTTGAAATGATTTGGTCAAAAAGACTCCATTTGAATCATTCTATTGAATTACTCACTGAATAGTTTGGAGCTATTTTTGACTTATTCGACTTTCATTAAGTCTAACTCAACGTGAACAATGTACTTACTGTAAGCCTTGTGAGTCTTAAAAGCAGAGCAATTACTGACTGGTTATTCCTACAACATCATGTAATTAATGATTCAGAATATAGCTATGTTTTGCAATAAATATTACTTACAATTTAGCATTCAAGCAATCCCAATACAGTGCTGCAGGAGAGAAAAGAGGTTTATGAACCACAGGGGACAGATAACAAGGGTTTTGAGATACTCATACATCAGCCTGGATGACAGGTAAAGTGCACTTGGCTTAAATGGGCCAAATTTGTGGGTAAACAACGCAGCCAGAGAGATGGTGTTGATTCGCCATTTATTACGCCATTTAGAATCTTCTGAAAGCTCTTATACTGTACATTAAAATGACAGCTTTGAGCCTTTCCTTTGCATCCAAACACATCCAAATTCTGTCTTGACCTCTACAAAAGCAATATCAAGCCAGCATCCTGCGGCGTCAATGGGTCACACCTATCGAGTCCTGTTATTTGCTAGGATAAAATCATATGTTTGATTTGAAACGCCCTCTGCAGACATCTAAAGCCGGTTTCATGGTGTTGTAAAATTCAGGTCACACAGTGACCCGCCTCGTTCCAAGTGACGGCACTTCAAACAACCAAACGGGTCGCTCAATATGTGGCGGTGACCTTTCGTCACACTTCACTCTCATAAGATTTGCACCTCTCAGATCGTCCTATAAAACTGTAATTGAGAATCATCAAGCCCTCTATAAACAGTCAATGCACCACAAGGGTTTTGTAAATGTCACCCGTGTTACATTTTTCTTCAGATATAAAGCTTATGTCAAGCTAGATTTAAAGATACAGGGGCAGAGGATGATGTCGTGGTTCAAGGTTTGCAAACAGCCATCGGTACACTCTTAAAAATAAGTGCTTAAAAGGTTCTTCACAGCGATGCCACAGAAGAACCATTTTTGGTTCCACAAAGAACCATTCAGTCAAAGTTTTTTTTTCTTTCTTACCTTTTTATAATCTGAAGAACCTTCTTTCGCCACAAAGAAGCTTTTGTGAAACAGAAAGGTTCTTCAGATGTTAAAGGTTCTTTATAGAACCATTTAGACAAAAAGGTTCTTCTATGGCATCGTGAAGCACCTTTATTTTTAAGAGTGTAAGTGCCTGAACCGTCTGTTGCTCTCTGGGTAACAAGCCCAGTTTATAAGCACTCGATGCATATAAAATGGTTCATAACGAAGGAACAAGTTCGGATTTAAACCAATTTTTCTGGTCACACTGCATCCAAGCAGCCCTTAAAAACATCTTGAGGACAAACTGGAAAAAAGCAGAAAATATGGCTCACATTTGTTAGCGAATAAACTTCATTTTAAAAATTCACAGTCGTATAAATAATTTGTATGTTATGATTGCTTAAATGCTCATTGCCCAGAAGCCAGAATGAAATTAATACGGCTACTATAGAGAATACTAAAACTGTCAAATGCCATGATTTTAATATAGATCTCTTCTATTATTAAACATCTAGCATTTTAATATGTATTTAAAGGGATAGTCCACCCTGAAATCATTTACTCACCCTCATGTCGTTTCAAACCCGACTTATGCCATATGTTGTGTCATCTTTTGTGTGAGAGTTAGAAAAGTATTATTTATAAGCTATTAATATACTTTTATAGTTTTTATGAATTAGCATTCATTTTCATATTTTCAGTTTTTATTTTCGTTTAAGTTTTTGTCATTTTATTATGTGTTCTTGTGATTATCAGTATTTGTTTAATTTCTATTTGGTTTAATTTATTTTCAGTTATTTCGTTTTTTGCATTATTCATGTCAGTACTTCAGCTTAAACGTATTTTATTTCAGTTCGTTTTTTTACGATTATTCATAAAACTTTTTCTTCTTCTGTGGAACACAAAATATGATTTTTTTTTGACAAATATCCTGGTTGTTTTTTTATACAATGAAAATAAAAGAGGACAAAAGCTTGTTTTTATGATATTTATTTACTACGGTATTTATGAATACTTTGAATTGGCTTTTATTTGTATATTTTCAGTTTTTAAGTTTAAGTAATTTTTTTATGTTCTGTTATTTTTTATTTAGCTTCAGTTTTTTTAAATTAAATTTTTAGTATTATTCATTTTAGTAATTCAACTTAAATTTATTTTATTTCAGTTTGGTGCCACACCAACAATTAGTTTTTTATGGTTATTCATACAGTGGTCGATTCCGTTGAAAACTTATTCATTTGTGAATCAGACTGATCTTTTTCTTGAGTTTAACTCCCTGATTCAATGATCAGCTCACTTAAAGGAAAGCTTTTTAACAAAAAACTTCAATTTCAATCTGTTTCTCAAATAAAGCTATTGAATGACTTCAGAAAACTTCAAATATAAATAATACAATTAATTGGGCTCAGAAGCTGTTATATAAAATATAATAAATCGCATGCAAAAGAGTGACATATACATAAAATTCTATACATTTGTGTTCTTAAGGTTTTGAAACATAATGAGGTTGAGTAATTGATGACAGGCTGAACCATTAAGTAACATTTTAATAAAACATTAAGCCAGGAGCCAGTTGATGTTGATTTCAATAATTAGGTCCATTTGATCCAAGAATATTGCATCAAACATGCTTTCATAAAGTGTGCAAAAGACAGAGAGTGTGAGCGATGTGAAATTTGCATGAACTGCTGTGCTGTATCTAGGCTATGTGTTCATGCTGGTAGGACACATAAGACATTCATGTCACCCTCTCATACAATAAAATACTGCACTGACAGAACTACAGCCCCCTTGGTACTATATAGAGGATAAATAAAATAATAAACCAGAAAACAAGCTATAAATGCAAATGAACCAGCTGGATAATATAAGGTCACTGCTCATTTTACAACTGCTCCTGTTTGTTTGTATTGATATTTTGCTGATCAGAGGCTTGGGAAAATGGCATTACTGAGAGGGTTGGTCGTCCTTTTAACCTTCTAGACCAGCGTAGTCCCACAATACACCAAGAATATTAGAATCAGGTTCAGTATCTGGTCACAGACTGTGGGCTACAGGGCCATCTAGTGGAAACATGTTATTTAAAGTTGCACAACAAAGAACCTACATACCTACAGCCTAGGTTTTCATCATTTCACCCATTCAGGAACTTTTTCATCTGAACAGATTTGGATAAATTTTCACTTGCTCCGCAATGGATCCTCTGCAGTGAATGGGTGCCATCAGAATGAAAGTCCAAAAAGCTGATAAAAACATTACAATAATCCACAAGCAATCGGCACCACTCCAGTCCATTTTTTTAAAGTGAAAAGAAAAAAACAATTCCATCGTTAAGGTGTTTCAACTGTAAACCTTCTGGACAAAATACGAGTCCATAATCCATAATAACACTTCCACCACTGAAGAAGTCCATTCCCTATTGCTGTCTTGCATCAAAATCCACCGGTATATTTGTTTAGAACAGTTTTGGACTGTTTTCACTTGTGAACTGTGTTCGATCTTTGCATATTTCTCTGACTTTTTCAAAACTCCTTAATGATGGATTTGTTTCTTACAAACATGCAGCTTTTTACTTTGCAAGTCTTTGGTGTGGATTATTGTGATGTTTTTATCAGCTGTTTGGACTCTCATTCTGACGGCACCCATTCACTGCAGAGGATCAATTGGTGAGCAAGTGAGGCAATGCTACATTTCTCCAAATCTGATGAAGAAACAAACTCATCTACATCTTGGATGACCTGAAGGTGCATGCATTTTCAGCAAATTTTTATTTTGGGGTGAACTATTCCTTTAATACCAATTTTACACATTTGATCGGCTTTTAGCAGCAGAGCTTGAATTTCAATCACATTTATCCAAAATACCCATAAAATTAGGTATCAAAGGAAAAGGCAGAAACTTTTTACTAAGCAAAAACATGTCATCAGACAGCAGCTTCCAGATTGTGCATCGCTTTGTACTTTTTGGCCATGCACTGTTTTAAAACAAGAAGGAGCACAGAAGAAATCACCATGTCTCCACACACAAACAAAGCACTCAATAGCACCTGAAACCATTTAGCTTAGGAGTTCACAGTTACAAGAGTCTGAAACTAGTTGAGGTATTTCTGCATAGTGGTCCAATAATGGCTCATATTCAAGAGAATGCATATTCAAAACTGCTGAAATGTGTAATAAACAATTAAACTAATCGGATCGGTTTAGATGTGTGTGTGTTTGCAGTGATGGCCTTTTTTCTTTCACCATGACACTGCAGATCTGATGTTCAGTCCAGTAAGCTAACCTCCGGTGCTCAGCTTTTTATCCTGGAAAAAAATGAATGACATTTTTGTGAATAATTCATAGTAATTATATAAAATAATACTACTTTTTTCAAAACACTTTTAAAGTCTTAGTTGAAGATGTCCTCTAAGCTGCACTGCATAAACCTGTTCTCAGTCAGTATTTAAATAGCTATTTTGAATGTCTACACAAGTGGCCTTATCAGTGTGGTTTACCTGTCTGGCACGGTCCACACACTGAATGTACAGTGATGCGATGCTGGAACAGCTCATAGTTTGACCTTTATTCTCAGCGTAACACTTCAGTATCTGACTCTGCAGATCTGAACACACTGGTTTGATTTGGCATCGCCTAGAGAGAGTGAGAAATGAGATAAATGTCATTTGAAAAACTAAACACTGATTTATTGATCTTGCACACTCACCTGAAGTGGTTGTGTGCGTCCTCTAAGCCTTTCTTGTAATTTTCAGCAGTAACTTTAGTGAACTGAGCCATCTGCACAACAACAAAGAGACAGTCAACACGTGTAATATACTGCTATATATACTAATATACTAGGGATGCACGATATTATCGGACTGATATCAGAATCGGCTAATAATGGCTTTAAATGTAAATATCGGGCGATATATCGGTATTAGCCAAAATAAGTTAGAAAATATCGGCAAAAATCCAATATCGTGCATCCCTAAAAGATACTATAGTTTCATTCATATTTTGAATTCGTTTTATTTTGTTTTCTGTTTTCATTTTAATTTCAGTTAAAAGTTTTAGTAAATTTGCTTGTTTTGTCATTTTTATTATTTTTTAAATATGTCTATATAGCTTTTATTCATATTTATTTCATTTTATTTTTATTTTATTTTAGTAAATCAAGTTAAACGAAATGACAATGAGAAATGTTACCTTGGCAACTAGCTGAAATAAAATAAGTTTAAGATCAAATAAGTTATTTAATTTCAGATAAAGTTGATTTTATTGCAAGTAATGCTTTTTTTTAAATGGCTTTAGTTTTAGTTAACTATAATAATGCTGTACTGCATATGAAGTGGTGATATCACTCTGGAAAAGGTACAAAGAGCACGTGAAAGGTCAGATGAATCATTTTGCCTTTTCCTGCATCTTGGCAATCTGCTCCCGAAACAGAGCGTCCTGATTTTCCAGATCTTTCTCCTTCTCCTCCAGCTTCTGAGCCTGATGGGAAGATAAAACACGTGAAGCATCAGCCTGTAAATCTTCCACAGAACACTATAGTAAAGAGAGTTTAATGGCACATGCATTTCTTGATATAAATATACAAAAGTTTTGCACACAAATTATGTTAAATTTACTGAAAAGGCTGTATGTGTGTGATAGATTAATGCATATTAAACAGAACTAATTTAACCTTGTATTTAAGCAATCACTCACTCACATTTAGCTGGAATAGAAATGATCACAAATTTCTCTTAAAAAAAAAGTGAACGAGCAACTGATTGGCAAAATGAAGTCTCAACATCTTACCTTCCTCTCCATCCACTGAAACACATGAGCAGATCAAGATAAAGGAAGAAGAAGAAGAAGAGAAAGGGAAAGTAAATAAGCGACAGTGGAGTTAAGCAGTAAAGCAATACCAATTATATTCATGAATTTCTAACATCTGGATATTCACAATATGCAAATCCAACACATGCAGATACATTTAGAGGTGGATGCAGATAAAATGTTACATAACATGTTGTTTTGCACATGATAATAGTGTTATCTTAGTATCATTTAGATACTGTTGAAGTTTTTATTGATAATTAGAATCATTTTTTTAAAAGTAATTTTTTAGCAATTTTATTATGTTTTTTTTTACATTATTACTAGTGTTATATTACCATTTCTATTTTACATTTTCCAATCATTTTTTTTTTATTAGGTAAAGTTTTAGCAATTTTATTGTGTGTTTTTTACATTATTACTAGTGTTATATTACCATTTCTATTTTACATTTTCCAATCATTTTTTTTTTATTAGGTAAAGTTTTAGCAATTTTATTGTGTGTTTTTTACATTATTACTAGTGTTATATTACAATTTCTATTTTACATTTTCCAATAATTTATTTTTAAATGTAGGTTAAGTTTTAGCATTTTTATTGTTTTTTTTACATTATTACTAGTGTTATATTACAATTTCTATTTGACATTTTTCAATAATTTTTTTTTAAATGTAGGTTAAGTTTTAGCATTTTTATAGTTTTTTTGACATTATTACTAGTGTTATATTACAATTTCTATTTTACATTTTCCAATAATTTTTTTTAAAGGGGTCATATGATGCTTTTTTAAAGATCATTATTTTGTGTATTTGGTGTAACAGAATATGTTGACATGCTTTAATGTTCAAAAAACACATATTATTTTTCAAATACTGTACATTATTGTAGGTCCTCTATGCCCCGCCTCTCTCAAACGCTTCGTTTTCTACAAAGTCCCTCCTTCCAACAAGCACAGTCTGCTCTGATTGGCCAGCTGACCCAGTGCATTGTGATTGGCCGAACACCGCAAGCACTCATCGGAAATGTAACGCCCCTTACCATAATCGCGAGCTTCATCTTTCAAAATAAATGTAAAGACAGAGCCCGAAAGGGGAACAGAGTCGCGTGACAGACACAGTGATGAAGCTGGTATGTGTTTGCAGTACACAAGTCACGGTTAAGACAGCTAACTCCACTGTGATCTCTCTCTCTCTCGCACACACGCACACACACACACACGCACGATGCGCAAAACTCCGCATTTGAACAGTCAATAGCAAATACTTAAACTAATAACAAAACAGTAGCTGATTCAGAAGCTCCAGATTGTCATAGCAAAGTCAGAATGACCTCCTCTCCTAGGTTCATGAAACGGTCGTCCATAAAATGCATTGCTGTTCTGTTGTAAGTAATCTTAAAGATTCCTAAATGCATCTACTTCTGGAAGGCCAAATAAAGTGCTTTTGCTTTCACCTAGAAACACAGCGTCTCCCTGACATGCTGCTTCAACACTAACTGCGGTTACTGAAACCCCGCCTTCTTTCTTTGCGTGCACATTTGGGCGGCACTATGCTAATATTTCCACATAGTGAGGTAGATATGTGGGGGCGTGTTAGAACGAGCCGTTTTAGGGGGGCGTGGCAGAGTCTTAACTTTGATAAAGAATATCTCTTTGGGTTTTGAGACTTTAGTCTTTGCAACTTCAGGGATCTTATCTATTCACAATCAGCTTGTAACACTCCAAAGAGAAAGGAAAACTTGAAATCGCATCATATGACCCCTTTAATTTAGGTAAAGTTTTAGCCATTTTATTATGTTTTTTTAACATTGTTACTAGTGTTATATTACAATTTCTATTTTACATTTTCCAATATATATTTTTTTTAATTAGGTAAAGTTTTAGCAATTTTATTGTGTGTTTTTGACATTGTTACTAGTGTTATATTACAATTTCTATTTTACATTTTCCAATCAAATTTTTTTTTAATTTAGGTAAAGTTTTAGCAATTTTATTGTGTGTTTTTGACATTACTACTAGTATTTGTTTGTTTTTAAATGTGTTTTTCTATTAATCCTTAGCATTTTGACAGTATTGCACCAGCATATTTTTGTTATGAGGGCTTTGCAAAAAAGTTGCACAGAAACAAAAGAAGCTGCTCAAACGTGTATACTCAGATGCACATACACAAACAACACACAACTGTGCACAGAAGCTGACTTACATAATACTGAGTTATGAGACGCTCATCCTGAACGTTTAACTGCTCCATCCTAATGGCATCTGCTAGAGTCTGTTGATAGGATGCCTTCTCCTCTTCCAGAAGCTTCTGGACCTCATCCTGAATCTGGAGTCGGGCTGCAGCTTGAGCCTGGGCCTTCGCTTTAGCTTTCTCTTCCTCCAGCCTTATGAAAACACAGTAAATGCTGTTTAGATGCCAAAACTCACTACATTCTTGGGTATTTTGTTGAGAGATCTTCATCGTCAGTTAAGTGTTTACTGTTGTCGCATGTTATGCTCTGCCATATCCATTTCCTCATTCAGGAGCTTCTGGAGATCTTCTCTGAGCTGCCTTTTGAGCTTTTCCTCATTCACTAAACAAAAGAAATATCATATTTTAGCATGGAGATATTCCATTAATTTATAAAACACAATCAAGTTTCTGAGAAGTTAAAGCCAACATTAAATGAAAATTCAACCCATTTATTTTCTAAATGCATGTTAAAGATATTATTGCTGCTAACAATTAATCCATGCATGTTCCATTCTTTTAAAAAATAATTAAATATTAGTTTTAACAATACGGATTATTTTAAAAAATGATGAAAATCATGATGTTATTGTTTATAATATCTTAATATCTTCATGCCTTATAGTTGCATTTAGCAGATTAGAGCTGGGCGATAATATAATTTAAATTTTGTGATGATACAAGCAATCAAGCAGTTGAGACGTGCTATACATCACTTTACATGAATGCAGTCTATATATGCAGGTAAAGTTATCCAATATCCAACTTTATATAGAGAGTTATGCGACAATACAGTTTACAGAAACGCTTACAGAAAAGATCTGTTGCTACTTCCATTTTATTACGATTTCAAGATTGTGTTCAACAAGCATTTGTACAAAATCCTGAGACACAACTGGACTCTTTGCAGGTCAATCAGTCAAAAATTAACCAGAGAGACTTTGGTAAGACTAATGAGCCAGATTATGAACTTTCCAACATGTGTTTGCAGTGGAAAGATTTCGAGTTGTGGCGCAACAGGTTCCTCAACCAGGTGAACACAAGGAACTGCAGGATCTCCAGTGGAAATTGGACCCATTTGCATCTTCCAAGGCATTTCATCAGGCAAAACCACAGATGAAGCAGACCCAGATTGCGAAACAGCAGACTCCTCCAAGACAGACTGAATGGGAGCAGGTCTGGAGATTGGGGAGGTTGAAACCTCAGGTTCAACAGGTAAGTCCATGGACCAGATATTGGCTGAGCAGCTAAAGTAAGAGATGATGGCATTTCTATAGGTTCAATCGGTTCAGCAGATGGAACACGAACTTCAGCAGATACAATTACAGGTTCAACCGTGGACTCTATAGGTGTTACAGGTTCAACCGAGGACTCTATAGGTGTTACAGGTTCAACAGAGGACTCTATAGGTGTTACAGGTTCAACCGAAGACTCTATAGGTGTTACAGGTTCAACCGAGGACTCTATAGGTGATACAGGTTCAACCGAGGACTCTATAGGTGTTACAGGTTCAACCGAGGACTCTATAGGTGTTACAGGTTCAGCCGTGGACTCTATAGGTGTTACAGGTTCAACCGTGGACTCTATAGGTGTTACAGGTTCAACCAAGGACTCTATAGGTGTTACAGGTTCAACCGAGGACTCTATAGGTGTTACAGGTTCAACTGAGGACTCTATAGGTGTTACAGGTTCAACCGAGGACTCTATAGGTGTTACAGGTTCAGTAAGTGGGTCTGTGGTTGGTGAAGGAGGAATGGCTACAGGTTCAGTTGTCGAGGTTATGACAGGAGGTGGTGTTAGGGGTTCAACACCGGGTTCCACTCGTGGAGAAGCAGTTATTGGTTCACTTGACACTGGTGAAGGAGTATTTATGGGTTCAGCAGGCAGCACAGCAGGTTGAGGGTCAGGTACAAGTATAGCTACATGCTCATCACCTGTAGGCGGAGGATTTGGAAGACTCTCAGGTGACTCTACATTCGAAGGTGGTGCAGGTGTTTCCTCAGTCCCAGTTACTAAAGGTGTTATTGGCTCTGAAACAGGAGGAGGAACCAAAGTACTGGCATATGAGGGAGGATGAGGGATTATGGGTACACGATGTTCACCTGGAACCCATCGCTCAACCGGAGGAGCTACAGGAGCTGTTGACTGGGTAGAGGATTTGGGTGAAGCTTGCGGGTGAACCACAGGTGGAGATTCCTTCATACGATCAATCACTCTTTGTGAAAGCTGTTTATCATCAGATGAGAAATGGCATTGATATACTTGTTGATATTACTTGTTTTTTACAATATGCAAAGTATGAAAAAATACTATAGTAATTTATAGTAAATACTATAGTGTTTCTGAACCTTACTATAGTAAAGTGTATACTGTATATAGTATAGTATTTACAACACTTTGATAATGAATGCTACAGCATACTGTAGTATTAACTATAGTGAACTGTAATAAATACTGTAGTATACTTTAGTTTTTACTAGAGTAAACTGTAGTGTATTGTAGTATAATATACCCTATAGTTGTAGAAATCTTAGTTCAGTATTGGGTAAAGTAATGTGTTTATATTACTATAGTTGTTATATTACCACAGCAACTATAGAATTACCACAACAAATTAATTCAAGTACTTTACTATAGTATGTAGGGCTGCATGATTATGACATTGTCGATTATTCCCTTGAAATTGTAATTGCGATTATTAATTACGATTATCACAATTTACATTGAATGATGTTTATACCATTGTTTGATGAAACTGCATGCCCTATTTTTATATGAAAATAAACAAGCTGAAAACACTCTACCTGAAAAACTATTAGTTCAGTAGAACACGTATGATGATTTTTAAGTCCAACCGTTGCAGTCAATCAGTCGTATAATGCATGGCAATGGTAACAAAATCTATGAGAGTAAAAAAAACATGTTGATATCCAGCCGAAGAGCAATCAACCATAACTTCAGGCGAGCAGGCTCAGAAGTTGGGAATACGTGGAAAGTCACCACTCCCGAATGAGGTCGCGCGAGAGAACGTAATCTTTTAGTTTTAAGTCGGTTTGAACAATCCGGATAAGCGCAAGTAAGTACCATTTTGATTAGCCATCGTACCTACAATGACTGTGCACTGTGTAAACAATGAGTGACGTATACGCGCGAAAGATCACTTCCAGCGCTTGCGTAAACTACGCCAGAGCGCATACACACCTCATGCACCGGAAACCATGTGCGTGCACAAAGCAGTTGATATTAGATGTAAAAAAATGACGTTGCAAAGACTAAAGTCTCAAACCCAAAGAGATATTCTTTATCAAAGTTCAGAGTCAGCCATGTCTACCAAAAACGGCTCGTTCTAACACGCCCCCACATGTCTACCTCACTATGTGGGAAGATTTGCATAACACCACCCAAATGTTCACGCAAAAAAAGAAGGCGTAACTTTTATTCTGGACTACAATGCCGGCTGTTCTGACTCAAAGACTGTAAGTACGTTTTTTATATTTAAAGAGTTTTTATATTTTATATATTTAAAGTGAGTTTTTTGAGCAGTGTAGAGTAGCGCTTGTTGTTTGACATTTCTCCGATCACAAATGCAGACATGGTTTTATGTTTACGCGGCGCGATGCAACGCAATGCATAAAAAGACAGTGTAAATCATTATAATCCATAATTATGTCCCCACTGGATGCAACGAATGCCTCGTTTATAATGGGTTTTAATGTTTTTGTCTCGTCGCTCCGGCCGGACAGGACATCACAGTATGGTGAGGGCCGTAACATTTCCGTCACACGCTTGAGGTATTCGGCCAATCACAACGCACTGGATAGCTGGCCAATCAGAGCACACCTCGCTTTTCAGACCGATGAGCTTTGTAAAAATGGACGCGTTTCAGAAAGGCGGGGCATAGAGGAGAAACAATAATGTACAGTATGTGGAAAATAATGTGTTTTTTTTACTTTAAACCGCATAAACACATTTCATTACACCAAATACACAAAATAATGTTCTTTTTAGCAACATCATATGACCCCTTTAAAAAAAATCTGCACTTAAAAAAAATGTAAATAATATTTGAAAGCTTACTCTTTTTGAACAATCTCATTGAACTTATTATCAATTTTAAGTATTAACACATTGTATTTTGGTGGAAAATATGGTTTTCAGCTAATGAATGTTCACAACTCTGTCAACATATCTAGGAGCATATAAGCTTATTTAAGTTTATAAGCAAGTGGACATTCTGTGCTGTTCACGATACTATATGTCTGGGGGCGTGACTAATACTATATTAATAATGGCGTGTTGTTATTATTATTCATTATTGTTCAAAATGTTAAAACATTGTTCTGCCTAAAAATGTAAATGTACACTTGAAAACTCACTTTTTTGAATGCAATCTCATTAAATTATTATTATTATGATTTTACAGTACTAACAATAACGGTATTAATTATTGTATTTTGGTGGGAAAATATGGTTATTTAATTTTTGTACTGTGTGAATTTATGAATTCTACACGAGTGACAAATAATACATTACCTGTAGAAAAACCCTGGGTTTTATCAATCCGTCAGACACAAGACCATACTTTTAATGCCAATAAAGACCATAAAATTAAAAGAACATCAAGAGAAATTGATTAATTATGAAGTTCCAATGAATAGTCCACACATTAGGTGCACAGAAAATGCAGATGAGATTGAAAGAACTGCACAAAAGACATGATTTCCTTCAGTTTATGAGGTCTCCGTTTGTGTTGGCTGATAAAAAATCTTACACAAATCCATGCCAAATTACAAATTCTAGCCTCATGAACATAAGTGTCGATATTTTCGACAATATTGGCAGTTGTTTTCTACAGTATTGCTTTAGCTCACCCTGAAACGTTAGTAGAAGGTGACTACAAAAAGTCAAATATGTTATATACTGTGTGACTACAACTTAAAATGCTTATGCATTATTGTTCGTAGTCTGTCTTACTTTATTATATCACCTGAATAAAGACACGTGTAAGTGGGCCAACATATTTACTGACTTACTAAAACCGGCTGTGTTTAAAAATGGAAAAGAAATAAATACCACTAACTTGTAGTGAACATTAACACTTATGAAAAATAGCTGGAAGTCCTGAACATGCTAAGAAAACTAGCAAAAATTGACCATTATGTTAGTTTTAATGTGCAAAGAAGTAGATACGAAGTAAATATGGTGCCAGGAATAAAATAAGTGTCTATTTCTGCAAAAACATACCTAGATACTGAAAACAGGTCACACATTGTAAAATCCTACAGGCAAACGCTCTAACAAACTTACACACACCTGGCTCAAAAGCAGCTCATAAAATTGGCCCAAATGTACCTCAAGCGCTCATCCATCCACAGTGAATAACTTAAAACTGAATAGTGATGGGACACACACCAACAAAACACACTCGCACAAAGCTAAAGAGGTATTACATTTCACTATGAAAGCTTCTTTCCACCACGGAATTAAACAATTCTGACTTTATCTCTCACAATTCTGACTTTATATCTCACAATTCTGACTTTATCTCTCACAATTCTGACTTTATCTCTCACAATTCTGAGTATATATATCTCACAATTCTGACTTTATATCTCACAATTCTGAGTATATATATCTCACAATTCTGTATATATATCTCACAACTGACTTTATATCTCACAATTCTGACTTTATATCTCACAATTCTGACTTTATATCTCACAATTCTGACTTTATATCTCACAATTCTGACTTTATATCTCACAATTCTGACTTTATATCTCACAATTCTGACTTTATATCTCACAATTCTGACTTTATATCTCACAATTCTGACTTTATATCTCACAATTCTGACTTTATATCTCACAATTCTGACTTTATATCTCACAATTCTGACTTTATATCTCACAATTCTGACTTTATATCTCACAATTCTGACTTTATATCTCACAATTCTGACTTTATATCTCACAATTCTGACTTTATATCTCACAATTCTGACTTTATATCTCACAATTCTGACTTTATATCTCACAATTCTGACTTTATATCTCACAATTCTGACTTTATATCTCACAATTCTGACTTTATATCTCACAATTCTGAGTATATATCTCACAATTCTGACTTTATATCTCACAATTCTGACTTTATATCTCACAATTCTGACTTTATATCTCACAATTCTGACAAAAGAGATAAAGAGTCACAATAACCCATTTCATTTTTGTATTCTGTGGCGTAAATGGGCTTCCATAATTTACTCTGCCTTCTTGTAAGCTTTCTCTCCTTTCATTGCCGCACGAATGCTGGACCACACTTCCGTGTAGAGCAGCGTTCCCAGGAACACCACGGCTGTGCCGACCCAGTGCCAGGCTGTGAAGGGATTATGGAAGTACAGGATGGAAATAATGAGACTCAGGAATTTGCGAAGCGTCACCACCAGTGTAACCGTGAGCGATGCGCACTCCGTGGTCAGAATGAACACGCCGCGGATGCACACGTATCTTGAGATATCTGGCTAAGGATGAAATATACTGACTGTAGACAGATTTCTTAGCATGCCTTACAGCTCTGTCCAATAAAAGGCCATAAGGAAAATCTGGATATGACAAAAATGAAAGGATACTGGGTGATGACATTCATCAGTAGGTATAACCACATGACTGGCACAGACTGGCCAATCACAGGGATTTCCACTGGAGCTTTGAGAGAAAGTCACGGTTTGTCATTTCAATTAAAGGCCAAACAAACTAAAACTTTTTAAGGCTTATATACACACCATGCAAACATTTGGGGTTTTGAAAGAAATCAGTACGTACATTCAATGAGGAAGGGATAAGCAATTTCTACTTCAAATAAACTTTCTATTGATCAAAAAATTATCTGTATCATTGTTTCCACAAGAATATGAAGCAGCACAAGTGTTTTCTACATTGATATTTTTTTTATGTTTCTTAAAGGAGTAGTTCACTTCCAGAACAAAAATGTACAGATCATGTACTCACCCCCTTGCCATCCAAGATGTTCATGTCTTTCTTTTTTCAGTCGTAAAGAAATTATGTTTTTTGAGGAAAACATTTCAGGATTTCTCTCCATATAATGGACTTCTATGGTGCCCCCGAGTTTGAACTTCCCAAATGCAGTTTAAATGCAGCTTCAAAGGGCTCTAAACGATCCCAGCCGAGGAAGAAGGGTCTTATCTAGCGAAACGATCAGTTATTTTAACGTTATTTTCTAAAAAAAATATTAAAATGTATATACTTTTTAACCTCAAACGCTCGTTGTGTCTAGCTCTGCGGTTCATGACAGTTAGGGTAGGTCTAAAAACTCCCAGCTCATTTTCTCCTCCAACCTCAAAATCGCTGCAGAAGTACCGACCCAGTGTTTACAAAGTGAACATGCAAAGAAGGTCAAACGCCCTTTACAAAAAAACGGCAAAACAACGATGGAAGGACGATTTTGAAGTTGGAGGAGAAAATGAGATGGGAGTTTTTAGACCTACTCTAACTGTCATGAACCGGAATGCACAGAGTTCACGCAGGGCTAGACAAGACAAGCGTTTGAGGTTAAAAAGTATATACATTTACATTTGTATTTTTTTTACAAAATAACCGATCGTTTCGCTAGATAAGACCCTTCTTCCTCGGCTGGGATCGTTTAGAGCCCTTTGAAACTGTATTTTGGAAGTTCAAACTCAGGGGCACCATAGAAGTCCATTATATCGAGAGAAATCCTAAAATGTTTTGCTCAAAAAACAATTTCTTTACGAAAAAAAAAGACATGAACATCTTGGATGACAAGGGGGTGAGTACATGATCTGTACATTTTTGTTCTGGAAGTGAACTACTCCTTTAAACACCAAAGTAGCATATTATGGCGCTTTTCCACTGCATGGTACGGTTCACTTTTTGGGGATTATCCACTGGGTACAGTACCTGGTACTTTTTTTAGTACCACCTCGGTTGGGGTTCCAAGTGAACCGTACCGTTACCAAAACGTGACGTGTAAACTCTGCTGATCACGGATTGGCCGGAGAGAATCGTCACTACCTGCGTCACTGAACTTGTGACACAAACACAAAAGAACCACTAGATTTAAATCAGCACAGCCAGCAAGAGCTGAGGGAACGGAGCGAGGCCGGTGGAGTAATTGATAATGAGCGACACCTGCACCACTCACCGGTCTCGAATCCCATGGAGGAGCTCGGGAAGGATAAAAGGAGGAGTTATGCCAGTGAAAGGAGAGAGGACCAGGCCTGGACTTTATTTTGTGTTTTGTGTGCGGCAGTCGTCCGCGAGGGGCTACCGCTTTACTTTCGTTTTGTGTTTGTTTATTTTATTAAGTTGTTTAAATGTTCGCCGTTTCCCGTCTCCTTCTTCCCGACCTACAAACGTTGTTACATTGGTGCCGAAACCCGGGAGGAAGGAGGGACACGCTGTCAGAGAGCCTTCGGTGCTGAGGAGATCGGGCAGCAGGAACAAGCGGAGAGACCGCCGGTGGCTGCCCGAGGCGGTGGTGCTGGAACGATGGAAGACGAGGTGGGACGGAGAGCTCGCTGCCGCGCTCCTGGGTCGAGGAGGGGTGGCTGCCGTCCGAGAGGGAGCGGAGGAGTTGGCCCCATTCGCCAGGAGGTCGGAGCCTGCTGCCATCTGCCATGATTGGGGAGGAGCAGGGAACGGGGGACTCGCTGCCAGCTGCCCTCAATAAGAGGAGCCATCGCCGTCCGCCAGGAGGCGGAGGAGCGGTGGGCCGTCCACCAACGATGTCCAGTACCATCGCATGGCACCGCGAGTGAGAGCCTCTCAGCTGGTTGAGGACCAAGCGGCAGTGTGTCCGGGAACCGGACCGATAATTACATTTTTTTTCTCTCTTGTATCCGTCTCTCCTCATCCTTCCGTCTCCTTTTCTCTCGCCTCGTCTGTCTGTCTTTACCCCCAGGTATGCCGCGGCCGCCGTGATCAGCTCCCCCGGAGGGGGGAGGGGGAGAGCGCAGTCTCGGGAGTACCCCGCGGCCTGCGAGGGGCGATGGGGGTATGTGACGAGTGGGGACGTGGGAACGGAGCGAGGCCGGTGGAGTAATTGATAATGAGCGACACCTGCACCACTCACCAGTCTCGAGTCCCACGGAGGAGCTCCGGAAGGATAAAAGGAGGAGTTACGACAGAGAAAGGAGAGAGGACCAGGCCTGGACTTTATTTTGTGTTTTGTGTGCGGCAGTCGTCCGTGAGGGATTGCTGCTTTTTCGTTTTGTGTTTGTTTATTTTATTAAATTGTTTAAATGTTAGCCGGTTCCCGTCTCCTTCTTCCCGACCTACGAACATTGTTACAAACATTTTTTTATACTTTTTTTTTTTTTTAATCCTGTGGCAGAAATGAGCTTCCACAGAAAAATGTTATTTTAAATTGCAATAATATTTTCACCATATTTTTGATCAAATAAATGCAGCCATGGTAAGCATTCTTTAAAAAACATTTTAAAAACCTTAAAGACCCCAAACGTTTGAGCGGAGATTACTAATTTACTACATTAGTCCCATCAGAAGCATACTCACAGCTCTGGCTGAAGAGCACGGCGTGTCTGTAGATGTCTGTTGACAGCAGGAGGAATCCTGGTAAAGGCAGACAGTGCTGAAAAAAGGCAGAAAAATCCCACTCAATCCCACATACTCATATATGACAAAATGCTGCACACTAGAATACAGCATCATACGTATGGTTAGGTACTCACATTGTAAAACAAAGCCTCTCTGGAGTGTTTGCCATACTTCTTGTACAAAGTTTCCTGAAAAATGCCCATTCTTGCAGACATCAGCAAGGCGAACGTTAGCATGGCAATCCCTGAAACACAACAGCATTAATGCAATCGAATATCATGCTTATGTGACTGAAAAATAAAGTTCAGAATGATATAAATAACCACATATATTCCGTAAATGTCTTAGGAATTGCATACTAACACACTACTAATACTTTTTTAACAGTATGCAATACCTGCACAATCGTTCAAAAGTTTGATATTTTTCTTATGCTCATAAAATTTGTATTTATTTGATCCAAAATACCATAAAAACACTAATAATAGGAAATATTATTACTATTTCAAATAACTCCTTTCTGTTTTACTACATTGTAAAATATAATTTATTGCTGTGATGTAAAGCTGAATTTTTAGCATCATTACTCCAGGCTTCAGAGTCACATGATCCTTCAGAAATCATTCTAATATGCTGATTTGCTGCTGAAGAAACATTTCTGATTATTACAAGGGCGTGGGTTTGATTTTGGCATTGGTGGGGACATAACAGCAGACAACTGACATTTAATTGTTTGATTGAGGGACAATTTAGTAGTTGCTAGATTTTGGTAGGACACATCCCGAGCGTCCCTACTTAATTCTACGCCCTTGGATTATCACCAATGTTGAAAACAGTTGTGCTGCTTCATATCGGAGTATAAACTGTGATACGTTAAAGCAATAAGCCCCAAGAAGCCGTGGTTTACAGTGAATTTATAACAGCTAAGGGGCGTTGTTAGGGCGTTGTCCGCTTCGCGTCGTACCTAACAACGCCCCTTAGCTGTTATAAATTCACTGTAAACCGTGGCTTCACGGGGATTATTGCTTTTATAAAACGGTTATTCCATATATGTAGTAAGGTTTCACAAAATAAAACAGAGCAAGTAAAGCGCAATGATATTAATAAAAACATAATTCTTCCGCCAAACAATGTAGTTCCTCGGAAACAGTTGTGGTTCCAACAAAGTGGTTGCCGAGCAAAGTAAACAAAGGTGTGTTTGTAGAGTAATTTACAACAGCTTCGAACGCAGCTCAACCAATCAGAATCAAGGACCGGAACTATCCGTTTTATCATTTGTTTTTAACAATTCTTTGATGAATAGAAAGTTCAAAAGTACCGCATTTATTTGAAATAGAAATCTCTTGTAACATTATAAATGTCTTTACTATCACTTTTGATCAATTGAATGCATCCTTGCTGAATAGAAGTTACTCAAACTTTTGAACAGTAGTGTGTCCTACATACTACTAATAATGTAGCATGCAACCATTTTAAATGCTTATTGTTACTAATGCAGTTTCACATTTTAATGTTTTAAATGGTAGTATATACTATACAATATGGAGCAAACATTGCCTGAGTGTGAATGTGTAATGAGAATATTACCCAGAATCCAATGCATGAAGGCATAAAAAACATCTTCCTCTGTGGCCCCTTTCTCAACATTCTACATAAATATCAAACCTGACATATTAGGTGCAGATGAAAGCATTGAAATGCAAATACATTATGCCTGTTAATACGAAACAACTACTAATACAGTATTTTGTGATCCAGCCTAAAGTGACTCACCACTTGTTTGGCCGACATAATGGTGCAAATGAAAATGCCCAAAGACACCAGCACGATGGAGAGATATTTACTCGCCGAATATCTGAAAGTAATAACCTGACTGAATAATATGCAAAAAAAGAGTTAAGTACGGATTTTGTGCATATCTTCAGCCTACCTTTTCTTCAAGATGATAATACCGAGGATCATGTTAGCTATTAAAGATCCCTGTGATCGAAATGAAAAGTTACAGAGATCAATAAGACACAGTTTTGAAAGCAATGAATGAATGAAATGAATGATACTCACTGATCTGAAGATCATGTGCAGGGGCATGGCGATGTTAAAGTTCAGGGCGTAGTTATTGATCACGCTGACGGTAAAGAACATGGTCACCATGATCACATAGTTACTGCAAAAGGGAAACAAATCAAAAGTCATGAGATACTCACAGGCAGGACGGAAAACAATACTGAATTAAAAAAATTATGTAATGCATATATATATATATATATATATATATGAGCAGTGCTAGGTAGATTACTTACAGATTGTAGTCAGTTAATCTATCTATCTATCTATCTGTCTGTCTATCTATCATATATCTATCTATCTATCTAATGTTGTATCTATCTATCTATATATATATATCCATCTATCTATCTATCGATCTATATATATATATATATATATCATCTATCTGTCCATCTATCTATCTATATATCATCTATCTAATGTTGAATCTATCTATCTATCTATATATCATCTGTCTGTCTATCTATCTATCATATATCTATCTATCTATCTAATGTTGAATCTATCTATCTATATATATATATCCATCTATCTATCTAATGTTGAATCTATCTATCTAGCTATGATATATTACCATGGTATTCTCTGAAGTGCTTTGAAGTACTATGCAAATACCCTGGTATATGGTAATCATATGGTACCTATTATTAATATGATTATTTAATCTTTATTTGTTATTTAATCTTTTAAATCATTAGAAAGAAGAAAAGCCTAAAACAATTGCAAAGTTGTACATGAGTACTATATTTTTACTTCCACTGAAGTACTTCATCTTATATATGACTTATTTGCATGCCTCTCTCTGTATTTGTAACGCAGCACTAATAAAGGCTGTTGTTGTGTTTTTAACAGAGATCGGGATGGGGCTGACGGGCTTCGGCGTATTTTTCCTCTTCTTTGGAATGATTCTGTTCTTTGATAAAGCGCTCTTGGCCATAGGAAATGTAAGTGTGTGCTTTAACACAGAGTAAAACATGAACGCTCAGGCGTGTTGGGGAATTAAAATGCTGCTTGAACTGAACCTGAATGTCTTTTTGTGTTTGCAGATCTTGTTCGTCGCAGGTCTCTCATTTGTTATCGGACTGGAACGGACGTTCAGGTTCTTCTTCCAGCGGCATAAAATGAAAGCCACCGGTTTCTTTCTGGGAGGTGTTTTCGTGGTGCTCATTGGATGGCCGATTATAGGTGTCGTCCTGGAAGTCTATGGATTTTTCCTCCTTTTCCGGTGAGTTGTTTTGTTTTGTCACCCTGGCAAGATGTTTAGGGTGGTTTTGCACTACCATAAAAGGGTTTATTTTGCTTAAAGCTACTCTATGTAATTTTTTTACCCCCGAAATTAATCAAATTTAATAATGAGCAAGCACACTATCTTCTGAAGTTGTGTTTTTGCCTTACCTTGCCTTACTAAAAAACAATGGAGGGCCTGTAATAAATAGTATTATTTTAGAGTTGTCGGGACGGATTTCCCGGGAAACTGCATGCATGAATCGCCTGTGTGTGTTTGCCTCATATCCAAAAGTAGATTGAAACCACAACAAATGAACCTGGAACCGAAGAGTTTGCAAGCAAAAACAGAAAACAGTGAACCTGTAATAAAACACGAATCAACATAGTTTGCATAGTGTCAAATTAACCAGTTACTGGCCTATTTGCCTAGCAGGGCTCCAGATTGAAATTTTGTGAGCGGTCGCACTGGCGTGACCACCTCGTTGTTCAACTCGCATGCCATTTCTGTTGCAAATGAGAAACATCAAACGGCAAACGAAACAAAAGCGTAACAAAACCCTGCTACTTGTTTGAGCTGCGCAGCGCAGTTTGTTTATCAGCTCAGACCACGACGCAAACAAACTTGTCCGAACTCAGAACAGCTTTACGCGGGAACCAAAGTTGATTTTAGATTGAAACCACAACAAATGAACCTGGAACCGAAGAGTTTGCAAGCAAAAACAGAAAACAGTGAACCTGTAATAAAACACGAATCAACATAGTTTGCATAGTGTCAAATTAACCAGTTACTGGCCTATTTGCCTAGCAGGGCTCCAGATTGAAATTTTGTGAGCGGTCGCACTGGCGTGACCACCTCGTTGTTCAACTCGCATGCCATTTCTGTTGCAAATGAGAAACATCAAACGGCAAACGAAACAAAGGCGTAACAAAATCCTGCTACTTGTTTGAGCTGCGCAGCGCAGTCCGTTTATCAGCTCAGACCACGACGCAAACAAACTTGTCCGAGCTCAGAACAGCTTTACGCGGGAACCAAAGTTGATTTCACGACACTGTTACTGCACAGTGCTGCGAGATCCAGTGAGAAGCGTTTGAATTCGCCGCAGAATGAGTAAAGATTGCTGCGAGATCTAGTGAGAAGCATTCAGATTCTGCACATAAATCTCTGTTATAAACAGATCAAATGGCGCTGATGTACAAAACTAGGGGCCCGTTCTTCGTGTGTCGCTAACTCGGTTAGCTGGATTTGATATTTGACGATTTGGCATGATCTTCGATTGGTTGGTTCTTCGAAGCTCATCCCAGAGTTGCTGTCATAGCAACAGGTCCGTAAGCTTAAACCTGCTCGGGAGCAGGCTTATTTCATATAAACATGATTAGATTGCATCTTTTAAAGCAGAATTGATACTTAAAATCTGTCCCCAGCCACTGCTACTTTATTAGAAGTGTACCCTACTGATCCAGGGACAGTCATTTAAAATAATAATAAAAAAATAATATAATAATGTTGTGTAGTCTATAATACTATAGACGGGCAGTTTTACTCGCTGAAAGATTTATTCATGATAAAATAATAACTTTATAATTGTATTGGAGTCTTGCGCACATGCTGTACAGTTATGGGAGTGGCTTGAAGGAGTGCAAGAGATGCAGATAACTTGATCTTGGCCCTTAAGAAACTTTAATTAATGCTGTCACATAACAAATCTGCTTCAAAGATCAAATTAAATGAATTGCTAATTACAACATTGAAATAAAAATGTAAAGCAAATACTAGAAATCGTGAATATAAATAATTGGGAATCATGTAAAAAAATTAAAACGGTGCATATTTCATTTATATATTATACCATTTATGTAGTTTTGTTCGCTTGGCTGTTTCCTTTGAAAAGTCCAGAAATTTGTCAAGTTGTTCGTCAGGTGTCTTTTTTTATTATATGATGTCATTACGTTGCTGTCTTGCCGCCAGCCAATCGCTGCGTTGCTGATCGTGGTTTCGAGTATCGATACACTTGCCCTTTACGGGGAACATGAGAACTCGCAGTAATCTTAAAACAACTTAATCCAGATATTTAATCAAATCCGCAAATTTGTTTGAAGAACCAAATTAGCCAGATATCAGTTATCACGATTAGAAGATCTGGCATCTTTCAAATCATCTCAGATGTATTAAAGGCACAATATGTAAAATGTATTTATTAAAATATCCAAAAACCACTTGAACAGTGTTATATATTTTGCTGACTTGTGTGTACTTGCATTATCCCAAATGTTTCGAAGAATGTTTAAATCCAGAGAAATAAGCAATTTTAACTAGTGACACGAAACGTGTCCATTGTGTCGCCTGCCAATGACGTCATAACCCCTCGATTTCTGGTTTTGTAGAAAACATGGAAACACCAAAGATGCTTTAATATGTTGTGCATTTTAATAGACCGGTGACGACCGCACAGAGTAACGTTATAACAGAACTTTTATCTAGTATGATAAAACAGCGCTGCTTTACCCCACACACGCACGACCGGAAGCAGCGGAAGCGGTCGACTGTGGCATAATAAAAGCCCTGCTGCTTTCAGCCTCACCCTGCTTCATTCTACTACGTTAATAAATCATTAGCTCATCCATGAACATGATTTCTGCCTGAGTCCCATCGGATTGCATCGGCTGTGGGGATGAAGACCACAACTCCCATGATCCCACACTCAGTCACGGCGTCATCAGACTACGCCTTTTGTCTCTTTGTTTATTTTGAATACGTGCCCTCTAGCGGCGAAAATTACATATTGTGCCTTTAAACGAGGTATGAAGAACGGGCCCCAGAAGCAGTAACGCTAGCTTGAACCACGGTGTTGTGGCAGAAATAGTCGAATGTTATTACATTGTTCATTTCAGGGTTTGTACAACCTTTTGAGAGAGAAATTCAAGCAATTTTTAATGACCTACAAGCATTTCACACAACTGTTTCCAGCACTTTAAAGCTCCAAAATTATACAATTTGAATGTTATTTTCAAAGGGATGACCAAAATATACTGTGGTGAACAAACACTTATGTAAAATTAAAAAATATATAAAATCACCATTATAACCTGTAGATGCCAGCAGAGGAGCACTTATTGGCTTATTAGTCATTAATTTATACTTTTTCCTTTATATTTTGAAATGATAAAATCACTATTATAAAATATCAAACAAGAAGTTTTGCTCTTTTTGTGTATAAGAAAAGTCACAAAGTGCTTTGAAAAACAAACTTTTCTTCAATTTGCGACTAAATCACACATAATCACTGAAGTTGTTGGTCAGTTCCATATAAGACTATAGAAGAATAATGGTACATTTACTAGGAGTACAATAGAAACTTTTTTCTACATAAGAACAGTGTTATATATTTTGCTGACTTGTGTGTACTTGCATTATCCCAAATGTTTCGAAGAATGTTTAAATCCAGAGAAATAAGCAATTTTAACTAGTGACACGAAACGTGTCCATTGTGTCGCCTGCCAATGACGTCATAACCCCTCGATTTCCGGTTTTGTAGAAAACATGGAAACACCAAAGATGCTTTAATATGTTGTGCATTTTAATAGACCGGTGACGACCGCACAGAGTAACGTTATAACAGAACTTTTATCTAGTACGAT